CAAAAAAAGTTTTCGGAAGTACTGATTAAATCGATTACTAAATTTTGCCAAACATAACCAATTAACACAACTCAGATATTCAATTCTTCAAGATATACCCGCAAGGAAACACAATTGTGAGCCATTTTCTCGAATGCATCCTTCGTCAGGAATGTCTGTTTTCAGGGGGAGGAGTTCCTTCATGTCCGTTCCTGGGAAGTGGTCGTAATGGCGCAGCAAACCGCCCACGCCCATGCGCAGTGCTCTGAAGACAAATTAATATTTTTCATGGCTGTTATCAAATCTGATAAATTTTGTTTATTGTAAGGTGACTAAATCAAGTTATGCTGTCATTTTCTATCCTAAGTATATGGGAGAATTATCTTGCTGCAAATATATTGAAAGTTAACTGGTAAAGTCCTCTCTCAAGGGGAAAAGCTGAAAATGAGTCACGGTTGCCAACACATCTCACCTCGCCTCTTCGTCAGTCCCACCATAGACAGTGTTGCCATCTATCACTCCGGTCAGGATGTTGATCTGGTTGCGTTGCCCTACAAAATTTAGTGTGTTACATTTTACTCTCTCGCTGCACACACACACACACACACATACTGTAAGGCTTGCCTCGCATAGTTCCTAAATGCTAACCGTTGTGGTATTTGTAGATTTTCTTTAGTGACTGGTACACATGCGTCACCCTAGCACAGCCAATTCATATACCAGTATTCCACATTGTCCACTGTCATTACACAAATAATAGTACATAGTACACTACGGTGAGCATTTTGGAACCAAGCAAAGCTCTATATATCTGTCCGAAATTGCATCAGGGCCCAAGCGTGGAAGGGGGAAGATTATTCCTTTCCAACAATGAGGGAGATTTTGGAGCCCAGGAATTCTCACAAATGCCGAGCCCGAAAGGGCACTGTTAGGCTCATAAGGCCACATCAGCGCACTGCGTTTGTACGCTAGTCCTAGTAACACCTGCCTAGTCGACAGTTCTGCGGGACACCTGGGAATCCTCGCACGAAGTCGATGCATCGGAAGCGGAAGAGGCCGAAGAACCGATCGTCGTGGGGAACGTCGATCTCCAGGCAGTAGGGGTTCTTGAGGCCGGCCGGCGGGGCGCAGCAGCCCTGCGGTTCGTTGCGGCTCACCGGGTCTGCGGCGCGCCAGGGCCGGGCACAGAAACGGAGAATCATCATGATAATAATGGCTCTTGTTATTATTACTAGCATTAGTGGTATGAGCATAATCGTATCATTCTCATAATTATTACTACTATGATTATCACACGATCATTATTGCTAATATTGTCACAATTATAATGATAATCATCATCACTTATCATTATCATGACCGTTATCACTATCATTACCATTATTATTCATTATCATTAATATCATCATTACTATATTATCATTATTACTATTATTATTATTATTATTATTATCATCATTATTATTGTTATTGTCATTATTATTGTCATTGTCATTATTATTGTCATTGTCATTATTATTGTCATTGTCATTACTATTGTTGTCATCATTATTATCATCATCATTATCATTATTATCATTATCATTGTTATCATCATTATTATCACCATCATTATTATCATTATCTTTATTATTGCTGTTATTGTTGTTGATGTTATTGTTATTACTATTATTACTATTATTATTTTATCATCATTATTATAATCATCAATATTATCATTACTATTTTTTTTCATCAACATTTATATTACTATCATCATTATTATTATCATCAATATCATTATCATTATCATTATCATTATCAATATCAATATCATTATCATTGTCGTCAATAACTGGATAACTGATAACGAGACCAAGTTTGATTCCACTACTACTGCTATTACTGAAAAATGAAACCCAAAAACAGTGATAATATGAGAAGTGTGTTGGTGAAGATGATTATAATAACAATAAGAATAACAGTATGAATATGAATAATAATGATGTTGATAATAATTGTAATAACAAAAATGATACTACTACTAATAATGATACTATTACTACAGCTATAGCTACTACTATAATAAAACTAATAATAAAGACAACAACAATAATGTTGATAATGATAATAATAATGGCAGTGATAATATCAACGACAATGATAATAATAATAACCGTAATGATAATAGTAAAACAATAAAACCCGATAATGATGATAATAAAGTAATGATTATAATAATATAAAAACGTAATGATGATGATGTTGATGATGACGATGATAATGATGATAAAAGTAATGATAATGATGATGATGATGATGATGATAATGATAAAAGAATAAAAAAGTAAAAATAATAATGATGATGATGATGATGGTAATAATGATAATAAAGATAATTGATATAATAATAATAATAAATATAAAGATAATGATAATGATAATAATGATAATGATAATAATAATGATAATAATCATACTGATACAGCAATAACAGCTAAAGCGAGAGCTCATCGTCAAAAGGAGCCTCGTCGCTTTATGA